TTATAATTATTAATACAAAGATCGAACACTCAGAAAAAACACTCAGATAAAATTCCTTCGATCCGGTCGGATTCGAACTGACGTCTTCTTGCATACCGTGCCAGACGCTATACCAACTAAGCCACGGAACGAACCAACGGACCTCACGAATTTTTCTATGTGCTTGCGTCGTGTCTTTGTACTTGGTCTTTCAACGTTGAAAGATTTTTTTATACATGATTAGGAGAGCTTCAAGTTTTTTTTTGTTTTCTCAATTACTCCAAACATTTAATTGTAATATCAACGCAATCGGTTTTCTTATTGAATTTTAAAGTATGGTGGAAAATGATGACATATGTGTGAGATAAGGAGTGGAGAAGGTGGTGGTGACTGTCCAGCACCGAGTCGAACGGTATAAAATGCGTGTAAAATCTTCAATGTATATTACAAAACTTGGAAGATTTAATCAGAAGAAAACGTATAATACAATTCAAAGGGAAAGCATTGAACAAACCTTTACACCATAAACTATTGTATCTTTCAAGCCAACAATAGTACTGATCACGCCTTCCACCTCTGCTGTGGACACATTTTCTCCACGCCACCTGAAAGCGGACAGAATATAAGTATTCATATAAGTTAGCCGTCTCTGTAAATATCTAACTTAGCTCTCTGTTGGAGAATATTAGAGATAAGATGTTCACAGAGCGATCGTTTCACCACAATTTCACCTGCTTGAAAGTGTAAACAGACACGAGTGTGGTACACGTTCGAATAGACCTAGAGAGATGAGCAAGTAAGGCCCGTGACATGATTTGATACGACCCGCAATCGGCAACTGCCATCTATATAAATACGGCTCAAGTAAACAAATTGGGTGAAAAGTCATTATTTGGCGAAGCGCTATAGTTCCTTTGTAATATAACAAACGTTGTAAGTCGAGAAACATGTACAAAACAATCTTTATTGCTCGTAAAATTACAGTGACAACACAGAACAGTAATAACGTTAATTAAATTGCCGCCTGATATCCATTGGCAACAGGCTATACTACATACGTACATAATACTCAAAGACATATTATAATCAATTTATAAGACCCTTCTCTATGTCAATTTTCTTGGAAGAGATGCGTTTCTGCGATCGTAATAGAGCTGCCTTCTTATCCGCTCACGCGATACATGCAGCCGTAGACGCATACCACACCTAGAGGTGCCGGTGATGATTTTATAACGATTTATCGGATACCTAAGTTATAACAGGTAAAAGTACTAATATTAATTGCTATTTCGGTAACTACTTTAGCAAACCATAAAGTTTTTAATGCCTGGGTCTGTCATTTAAAAAAAATAAACAACTTCAAAAATACGCCACGACAATCGTGTGTGTCATTGTTTGGGCTGGAGATTTCGGTGTTTATTTATTGGAAACATACCGTAAGTAGCGTTTTTTAAGTTTACTCTGAATATAAATGTTTATAAATTATACTTTAAGGAATAATTTCATGGTAAACGTTAGAACCACTCAAACGGAATATTATCATAGCTATCCAAGTACACCAAAAATTTCATTAGTGCTTTTTAAGTGCAGGATTTGCGGTGTATTACTGCATTTTATTTGAGATGTTCTTGTTGGTAGTATGGAGGGTATTTATTTAGCAATGCAGAATAATAATTTTTATTTATAAAAACTTGTATTTAAACTGAATCCTTTTCTAATTTGCGAAACCAAATAGCCGCCATTTTGCGGTAGGAGGAGCGCATCGCGTGAGCGGTTATACAGAAATAAATGTCTCAATTGCCTTCAGTGTACGAACAACAATCGCAAGATATAGGACGTACAAATACTTATTTCGAATATTTATAATAGTTTTATCTACCTAAACGTATCTCCAGTCCGATCTTTAAAGTAAAAGTACCCAAAATGGTCCATGACCATAATATCTCCGGTATTAAAATAGCAGTCTCCCTGTGCCCTGACGTTGCGAACCATCTTTTTCTCAGACGCTGTTTTATCAGCATAGCCGGAAAAAGTAAGAATCGCTTTGCTCGCGTCTATTTTGCCGAGAAGTAGACCTGCAATATGAAAAATAATGTTTGTTTGTACACAACTATAAAAAAATGCTAGGGAATCATAAAAATGTGGACGGCTTAAAAACGTGACGTAAAAAGAATTAGATCCTGAAAAGTTCAATTTGATTTTCAGCATGATTAACACTGATATATATACAAAATCCATCATCTCAATATACCTATGTCAAAGGGTTTAAGCCATAGTTCGAAAAACAATAGTCATACCATGGTCATACCAAAGCAGGTTCAAACAAATATTATATTATCAAATATAAAGAAACAGGTTTTCACGGTGTTTCACATCACCGTCAGCGAGAAATATTGCTAACATTCATTACGTGATTTATTCATATATAGTCATAGGTATATTTAGTCACAGTACACGGATTCGCACCGTCTACTTCTCAATTGAAAAGCAACCGTTGTCCCACTAGATTAGTACCGCTCGACGTGTTCTTTGATTGTGAACTGTTTATATATCTGAATTAAAAATAACTTTGACCATTTACAACAAAAAAAGTTTACCGGGTTCTTGAGGTCCGCATGTGATGCAATATCCATTGCTGTCCCTCAATATTTCGCCAGAGATTTCATCACATCTGAAATGACATAAACAAATATAGATAGTTTCAGAACTAGTTCGAGGGTCAATACACGCCAATATTTTTATAGAAATATAAACTACCTGACTAGAATAACAGGATAGACAGACGCCACCAATCTGCACATGAACCCAATGGCACCTACTTTAGAATCCAAATTAACTGAAACAAGAAAATAAATTGACTAGAACATACCCCAAAAAAAAACCAGTTTCAATTATTTTATTGAACGTAACAAAGCATAGAAGAAAAACTTACTGAGATTGCTATTCCCTTCAGTGGCTCCATAAAATTCGACAACTTTCTTAATGTTAAAGCGGTTAACGAACTCTTCCCAGATCTGAGGCCTTAGTCCATTGCCTAGTATGGTAGTAACACCATGTGTTTTATCTGCAGGACTTGGCGGAGTGTTGAGAAGATAACGACACATCTCACCGATGTATTGGGTACACTAGAAAACGATATTTTTAGTTTAAGGTAGCCTGTTAGTTAGAAAATAAAATATTTGATACAAATGTGACTTAGGGTCATATTCCTGAACTCTACTCAATACTCAAGTCCTGACTTGAGTATTGCAGTGAGCACTGAAAATCATACTCAAGTCCTTGCCATTAGGGTCGTATTTCCAGTGCTTGAAATCATACTCAAATCTGCTCAAATCCTGACTTGAGCATTGAGTAGAGTTCTGGAATACGACCCTCAGAGATGTCCTTGAAGACTTTTGTGAATTTTCTCTTAAGAGAAACACTTATAGACACGGAAACCCATAAAGAACGCTGGCAAAAGGTTTATGTCCTTGTGAAAAAGATGTCGTGGTCCGAGCTCTCTTTTTCGCTGTTGTTGTATGGATTGACGTTAATAAATGTGGTAATGCCAGTCATTACGATATTTCCCTGCCAGTACTTGGAAAATAGATGTTATACTAGGTAAATATTTACAACAATTCAAGACTCACCAGGCCACATGGGACCTGTAAGCGACACAAGAATGAAAGATCAACGTATCATGATTATTAAACGATGAAATGAAATACTTTAAAAATGTTAAATTTGTTACATTGTATTTGTTTTCTCCATGGAGACAAGACTAAAATCTACAATAACAATGTAATATAGATTGGTTCTCTCGTGGTCATGCAATATATTGCATTGAATATACGTTTCATGTTCTTTTCAAAGCCTTACACGTACTACGATCCAGACACACATCTTTCGTCTCATCAACTCGCATCAATACTTTCATACACGCTGGTCGGTTATCCGTACTCTTGACCTGGTCTAGGACGTCGTCAATTCGATAGTGATAAGTTCTATTTGGTTGGCCTTTACTTTGATTATATTCGGAAAAGATTTGGAGTGGTATACAATTGCTCGACATTGTGCACTATACGTCTCAATTTTTTTAATTTGGTATTTTTGAGATAGGCCGCCTTTCTACTAAACCAATTTTATTGCAATCGATACCTCCCAATTAAGCAGCTTTAAATTTTCCCTAACTTCCCACATTTTTTAATATATTAAAAGTTGAACTTACGGTACATTTATGAGTCGCAGCGTCCTTCCAATAGTTAGAAGCTGAAAATTTTTTCCTCAATACCACAGTACAGCCCATGACCAAGCACTGGCCCGCGCCGAGGACCCCTCCTGCCGTGTGGTGGAGCGGAAGGGGGTCATAAATAATGTCAGACTTAGTGAGACGTGCTGATGTGTTAGCGCCAAGTGGAATAAGAAGATATCTGGTGTGGAAAATAATTACAAATTATGAAAGTTTCACATTGTTTCGGTTTCTTTGAAAAGTAAGAGAATTGGTACGAAAACAAGTAAATGCATTAAACGAGGATAAAGTTATATTGGCATTTAGAAATGTAATATTTTAACAACTTATTCATTGACAAAGGAATAACTGCAGCTTTCAGTGGATTATTTATTAACTAAGATTTACTACAGTCGGTTACAAAAACTACCCATCGTAATAATGATGAAGTTGAAAACATAACTAGGACATATTATGACTGTTTTTCGGTCTACATACGTACCTGACATGAGGAATAATGGCAGCTTTCGGAAACCCTGTAGTGCCACTGGTGTATATATACAAAAGCGTGTCTCTAGGTTTGCCTGGTATTGGTTCGAAAGGTTCATTCGCCATCTCTTTCAGCTCTGCTGCCAAGGACGGCGTGTTTTGCAGAATGGTCGTTGATGGACGATCCGGTGAGTTGAATTGGAAGAGTGGCATATCCCTTATTTCTGATTGGATTTCTTTGACGGCTGAAAATAAAAAGGGGTAATTTAAGAGCGTGAATGTTGAAGGCTGAATCTTTGATGTAATTGATTTGACTTGATTTGCCATCACATCTGCCATTGTAAAATAAGTTCCTTTGAAATGACTCAGAGCTTAGGAAAAGAACAATCACGCATACGTGCTCTAGTTGTACCTACTATCTGTTTCATTACCTCCACTGGCATTACCGCTGTCTTCTGCAGCTCATAGGTATCGCCAAATAAAGTACTAAATTTTCTTTTCTCATCATGCTGTATTCACTCGTCTATCTAGTTGACACTTGTAGTGAAACTGCAGTAAGAAAATATACAATGACGTTGCTGTCTACCTCTTAGCCGCTCACGCGATTCATGCGTCTCTGGAAGCATACCATACCTAGAGGTGCCGGTGATGATTTTATACCTATTTATCGGATATCGAAGTTATAACAGGTAAAAGAACTAACACTAATTGCTATTTCGGTAACTACTCTAGCAAACCATAAAGTTTTTAATGCCTGGGTCTGTCATTTAAAAAAAATAATCAACTTCAAAAATACGTCACGACAATCGTGTGTGTTATTGTTTGGGCTGGTGATGTCGGTGTTTATTTATTGAAAACATACCGTAAGTTGCGTTTTTTAAGTTTACCCTGAATATAAATGTTTATAAACATACTTTAATACTTTAAGGAGTAATTTCATGGTAAACATTAGAACCACTCAAACGGAATATTATCATATTTACCCAAGTACACCAAAAATTTCATTAGTGCTTTTTAAGTGCAGGATTTGCGGTGTATTACTGCATTTTATTTGAGATGTTTTTGTTGTAGTACGGAGGGTATTTATTTAGCAATGCAGAATAATAATTTTTATTTTTAAAAACTTGTATTTAAACTGAATCCTTTTCTAATTTGCGAAACCAAATAGCCGCCATTTTGCGGTAGGATGAGCGCATCGCGTGAGCGGTTAGATATATCTATTATTATTGTCAGTGACATCTCTGGAAAAAATCTTATTAGTTTTATTAGTAATCAAGAACTCACCATTCGCTAACTCGTCTCCAAATACCAAAGCCTTGCAACCAGCAATCCTCAAGCAATGTATTAACTGAGCTCCTCTCAAGTTTGTGTTAATTAACGCGGTAATGACCTTGAGTTTGGCCAAACCCAGCCATAAGAAAACGTACTCAGGCTGTGTTTCCATGAATAGAGCTATAACTTCACCAGGCTTGAATCCTTGACGTTTGAAGTACCAGGCGATGCGGTTACTGAATTCGTCACCCTGGAATTGTAAACGATAATAAGTTAAATAAATCAGAATATTATACCTGGATTACCTGGTTTCAAAGTAAGTAGTAAGTTTGGGATTTATGTCGGCACCATCACCATTGTCATCAGGTAGAAGACGTTCTCTGCTGAATATATGCCTCTCCAAATTAATCCAATAGCATAGAATACGAATATGTTCCATCAGGCTCTTTTTTATTAAAGACTTCTGTACGAAATGTTTCAACTTCGTTACCTTTCTGTTAAGGAACAATCTTGCCAACGTCTATTACAGCACCAGGAATTTTAAAAATATTTTACTTTCAGTAAAAAAGGAAGTGTTTTTTTTTAAAATAGATCTAATGCAAACCTCTTTGTAAGTAATAGACCGATGGTCCATGACAAAGGCTTTCTTGTTCGGTTGCAGTTGAACATGCTGTGCAAATCGGCTCACCACTGTCGTGCCTGTATGCTCCCACATTGTTATTGTTAATATTGTCCTTATTATTACGCGGAAACCTCTGAAACAACGCAAATAACACTATTAATAAGATGATAACTTCTCCGAATTTCTTCAGTGTGACGCCGTAGTTAGTTAAAACTGATTTGTTCAAACCTAACATTCACTGGTAGGCTTAAAATGTCCACACGCCAGCACGTCAAGCTACCCATTGACGTATATTGTTCCTTGTTCCGTTGCACTGGAGGCGATTTTCGAACAAAAATGTGTAGTCTGATGTGCCGTTGCCCGTACATAACATAACATTATCTTAGAGTGAATAACTATACAAAAATGTGATGTAAATAATAATAATAATAATAAACATTTATTTCAGATAATTGCATCCATATTATTGTTAGTAACATTGGGTACTTACAACTATGTTAATTAATAATAATAATGATAATAATAATAATAACAACAAAAAAATATAATGTACATAATCATATTAATGAGCTATAATAAATTATCAAGACTTTATAATAATAATTTCTAACGACATTCATGGAAATGAAACTATTTTTTCGGATCTAAATCGCGTACTTGATTTTTCAAACCAATTTCTCAATCACATATAATGACATAGACAGAGAAAAATATAATTAGGTGTTTTAGATAAGTACAGAAGATGAATTAAAGAAAGTTGACGGAACAGTATATAAGGCGAATGTGAGCGAGTAAGTTGGTAAGAGTCGACCAAGGTAAGCTTATCACGACCGTATAATAAAACATTAATGCGTGTATAACACGGAAGATGTGTTCAGGATCGTAGCAAATCCAAAAGCTGTGGACTGTACCTACCCAGATGGGAAAAGGACGTCAATTATGTATAATTATGTAAGCTCCATGGAAACATAAACAATATAATTCCAATAATTCGTTTGAGAAGACGAAAAATACTTAATATTCCTAGAAACAAGAAATTGTCATTAAAAAAGGAAATAAGTCATCTCCTTCAGTATGTTTCCATTTGCAAATCTCCCGTAAACAAATTAAGTACCAGTTTACGAGTGAATCGTAAGAGAGCAAGGTCTGGCAGACACCTAGTGAGCCACAATAGAGTAATCTGTTCCATCCTGTCATTGACAACGATTTGCAAAATAATAGGGGGTACGATGTTTCCGTATCTACGATATAATACACTCTACAATAGTCTGCTACTCTAGTAACTTGTTATGGATATTATATTGGACATTCCCAGTGAATCGACTATAAAGATTGAACTAGATGAAGTGGTAACAAAAACGTAACGACGAATCCAAGGCGTGGGACTAAGGCAAGATCGTAATGGATGGTTTGTGCCAACCTACGAAAGACCTACACTCAGCAGTAGATGAAGGTGAGATGTGAATGGTGATACTCAGTGACTGACAACCGGAGGCAGCACTTCCCTGGACGAACTCTTTCACAAGGAGCTCTGTTGCTACTAATTATAGTGGGGAAGCAAATTCCGCATCTACAACCTTCGAATGACAGCTGCACAACAACAAAGATCTAGCCGGCCTGTGCACACGACGGGAAGTCAAGGCTACTGGACTGACGTGGAACGAAGCAAAGTAAACAGCACAATACAGAGTGAAGTGGCAACAACTCATGAAGGCCATATTTGCCAGAAAAGGAGAGAAGAGTGTACGCAAGAATTTTATAATTCAGTTCCACCCTCACCGTTCGTTCTTCGAACTACTAGAATGTTCAGAAAAATGTCCTTCTGTCATTAAGATTCTATCGATTCAAACGAAATGCTTTGTTTAATTTTATGTGATGCGTATCCGCTCACGCGATACATGCAGCCGTAGACGCATACCACACCTAGAGGTGCCGGTGATGATTTTATACCGATTTATCGGATATCGAAGTTATAACAGGTAAAAGAACTAATATTAATTTCTATTTCGGTAACTACTCTAGCAAACCATAAAGTTTTTAATGCCTGGGTCTGTCATTTAAAACGACAATCGTGTGTGTTATAGTTTGGGCTGGTGATTTAAGTGTTTATTTATTGAAAACATACCGTAAGTAGCTGTTTTTAAGTTTACCCTGAATATAAATGTTTATAAACTATACTTTAAAGGAGTAATTTCATGGTAAACGTTAGAACCACTCAAACGGAATATTATCATATTTATCCAAGTACACCAAAAATTTTATTAGTGCTTTTTAAGTGCAGGATTTGCGGTGTATACCAACAAAAACATCTCAAATAAAATGCAGTACATTTTATTTGAGATGTTTTTGTTGGTAGTACGGAGGGTATTTATTTAGCAATGCAGAATAATAATTTTTATTTATAAAAACTTGTATTTGAACTGAATGCTTTTCTAATTTACGAAACCAAATAACCGCTATTTTGCGGTAGGAGGAGCGCATCGCGTGAGCGGTTAAAGTAAAGGAATAGAATTCACTGCCGGCATCTGCATTACCCGAAAGCTACAATTTGGGGCTATTCGAAGCTAGAATGAATTTACTAGACAAACGCGTAACACCGTCGGCCACATCGTCGCTTTACATCAGAGATAGTGATCAAGCATTCGTATTTCTCTCTAGTCGTTCCTTCATGCCTGATCGCGATCCGCTTATTGCCTGCTTCAGAAGCATATGATCTGGCTCCATAAGTTTCTATCAAGCGCAGACCATGCAAAATTTGGTGGATGATGAGTCTTTTTTTTATAATATCAAGTGACGGGACGTACAGGTCGTGTGCTTGATGATCCCATGTGCCTGTAATTTGACCAGCACCCTTTACTTGCATCTTTCATTTGATCGATCCATCTTATTGATGTACGTTTACTTTACATGAATAAACTTACTAGACTGCAACTTCTGTCGACAACAGCGCATGATATTCTGTAATAAGATTCCGGTTGAAAATTTGCCATTCACGATGTGTAAAACTGTAGTCTAATATAACATACTAAAGGTACATATACATATACAGTTTGGTTGTCAAAAATCCGTGCTAGTGGCCCGTTTAGTTCTTGCAGCTTGTCTAGATCTATGATGATTGAGACAAATACTGTAAATGTATAAATGTTTATGTACAAAAAGCAACTCCTAGAGTTTCTTGCTCATTCTTCTAAGGAGAATCTGGCTTACGAATGAGCAGTAGAGTGTAATCAATATGACGATTTCAGGTTTAAATTGTTATTTCACTTTGACTTGGTAAAAATAACAAGGAACATATCGAAGAGTACAATTTAAACTGCAAGGCAGGATAGGTTCAATTAAACTCAGTATAACTACGAGTAGTAGTCACTTGTATCGTCACAGTGGCTGGTTAATCACAATATAATTAGTAATTTGTGAACTGGTGGTTAACTGTCGGCAATTCTAATCGGAAATATTTTATACTGGCACATCGACTTCAACAGACAAGTCAAAAACAATAATTTTTTTTGTTTTTAACGGGCTACGTTTATTACGTTTAGCTAAAAAAATATTCTTGTGCAACCGATTGGTAGAGAATTTAATAAAAAAGTACTTTTCACATTTACCTTTGCCATTTTTGAACAGTGTTTTGACCAAGAAGCTTTGACAAAAACCGACCTCAAAGGTCATTCACCCCCTAGTTTGCCACCCTTAGAGGTGGAATATTTTCTTTAAATTTAAATGAGACTACTACTGAGGTACCTTCTTTCCAACATAAAAAAAACCATCAAAATCTGTTCACGAATCGCGTAACAAAAAAAAAACACTAAATTGAGAACCTCCTCCTTTTTTTGATGTCCGTCTCACCTGATGGAAAGTGACGATAAGGTCGAGGATGGATCATGCACACCTAAATAAAGCCTGTTCACTCTCGCCTTGAAAAGGCTCAAGTTATAACGGCCAGGGAACAAGACTGAACACAAGGAATCCCACTTCATAGCCGGACGCCGTATAATAAATTGTGTCCAGCAAAGTCTAGCAAAGTAACTATAACTTTGTTTATTTACATCTCCGTAATATGACAATGCATTATTTCTACTAAGAAACTGAACTAAGAAAGCTTGTAACGCGCTCCGTGTCCTTTATGACAATGCTTTCAGGATGCTAATGGGGCTGAAGCGATACTGTAGTGCGTCTGGGATGTTCGCGGAGGCGCGCACGGATGACTTACATGCTTTGCGCATGACGCATGACGGCAAGCGAGTCACATCTCTAATGACTGGTGTACGCGGCAGCGCCAACGGCCTTCTGAGCACGGTGGCTGATATAAACTACAAGTCGATTTTCAGCTACTGGATGCAGTTCAGCTATGGATACGTGCGGGGGCGACATATTTTACATAGCTTAGCCGGATCGTTAGGTTAGTTTAGTTAGGTCAGTTAGCTTCGTTCGCGGTGTGGCTGCTGTGGTGTGAATGCTGTTTACATAAATGTATTATAGTTATGTTATACATTTCCGGTTACAGGTCTCATGGTCACGGTTGATCAACCAGTTGATGTCAACCGTGACCATGGGACCCATAAAGGGCCCGAAACGTAGGTTTGTTTGAAAAAAGAAATACACGCGATTTAAATCCCGAAAAATAGTCTCTTTCCTATATGTAACAATCGCGAAAACCTAAGAACTCGATTTGACACTCTTTGTTATACTATTTTGCTCTTGACAACTAACATATATTATTATTATCTCAAAAATTGCATTAGATTAATAATTTTTCTCCAAAATTTCGCTTTATGTGTGTGTCATTCATATATGATTTAATTTCAAAGTGATAGGACAACACTGTCGCTTTAAAACTAAATAAGTAATATCAATATAACTTAAAGCCATTTTCAGATAATCTAAGTTAGTTGTAGTTAGTTTCATGACATCCATTCAAACCGAACTAACTACTGGCATCACTCATGCATAAAATTTGAAACTAGTATGAAAAATACAATTCTACAAGTCGTGATCAAGCTCTATATTCAAATTTCCATCTATGACCTGAGATAATAGACGTCAAATGCCACCATGTTTAGAAATACATCGTAAAGTCTTGCTTAGACTGGTATTGTTAGGTACTGTAATCATAGAACTCAAGGAGATGTAAAT